GCACCTAGTCCGAAGTCGTCTGCCATAGTAGTTGTCATGATTCCCAACATCTAACAGTGGACTTGGTACCTTCTCAAACGTTTCAAGTCCACGGTCAGATACTGTGAATCATGACAACGACTATGGCAGACGACTTCGGACTAGGTGCGTTCTGCATAGTCCCCCTGACAACAAGACCGAGTTGCGACAACGAGGTCAACCCACTTCTATAAAAGAGAGCATTACTGACAGAAACAGGTGCGTGTCCGAGTAAGGCTGAGGCTAAGCAATTGCATTTCTGATGCGACTGAAGAGGATAAGCATGGAATGCGAATGAACGAAATGATGTCCTATCTCCTTCTTTCCAGAGGAGATGGAAAGAACGTGCATCCGCAAGTTTGTGCGATGGAGGAGGTCCGCAAGAAACAGAGAGGCTCGGTGAGACTCGATTTGACATTTTGACGAAAAGGTTAGCCGGAATTAAATTAGTGAATTGGTTTCATCGCGCCAACTTTGAGTCAATCCATCTGCACATTCGTCTGTAGCAAATGTACAAGTCGATTGCACAATCCATTTCCATAAAACTAAATAAAACGTGAACCCTGGAACCTCGGCGCGACGTAACAATCAGCGAGGTTACCATGCTGATTGTAGTGACAGAAGTGACGATGAAGACGTACAAGAAAATCGAGTTACGCGTTCGTAAAACTAAAACAGCCTTGACCCCAGAAGGGTTTTGGAGGGGAGGGTGAACCAACAGCCTCCATGTTGAAGCGCCCTCCTGACATGTACCAGTCCCCGAGGGTGGAGACCAACAACCACGGCGCTTTTTGGTTTAGTGGGATCCGACATTTCATTTTTTAATGGTTCTTTGCGAGTCTCCTTCTGTCGTTATTCAAGACACGATTGCCGACGGTCTTTCTTACTCCCGCTCGGCCAGCCTGCTCAACTTCTCACAACCACATTATGACCTTTTTCTGTGGCCTTCTCTTCAAAAGATATCACCAACGTCCTGCCAAAAATGGAACTATTCGTTGTTGCCGGAACTCTGAACAAGTGGAAAGCCACAACAAGAGTAACCGACTTTCGAGGAATCTATTATCGACGACAGAACCACTTTGCGAAGACAGTGTCCTCTTGACTTTTGGCAGAATACACCGGAAAAGGTACATTCCACAAGGTCGTCGTGACGCTTCGACCAAGTTGCGAAAAGACGGCAATCAAACAGAAGGCCATACAATCTTGTCCGTCATATCTACGATTCAACACTTTTGCCATTTGTGTCATTTGAGTTGATGAGTATTAGCTCTTTTGTCTCGAAGGTACCAGCCACCAATGGTCTCGCAGACATCCATTCCTTGCATTTTGTGTGAACATGCAACTGGACAGGATTGGCCAAGTGTGAAGACGGCTCTGCGCAGCAGCATCAAAGCCCCGTTCTACCGTTAGTCCCACTACCGCCTTACCAGATCGACTAGAACTGGCTGTAGACCCGGACGAAATCTAATGCCGATCCCGAAAAATGGGTTCTCCAGTTCATTTTGGCGGGCATCACGAAACACACCAAACAGCATATTTCACCCACACTTGGCCCCTCCAGTCAGCAGCCTCGTTCCGTCGTCCACTTCGGGCGGCCGGAGAAAGAGAGAGAGAGAGAGAATAGTGATAGGTAGACAGCGAAACAGGCAGTTCTGGCACTTGTACTTTTCCCATAATCTGGATCTGAAAACGCTTTCTTCCCATCCGGACGCGTTCGTGTGCCAGTCGGGCCGCGATGTCAAGACCGGCCAGGGCTGCACCAGACCGTCACGGTTGCAAAGCTGACACCCCGAGCCGAAACTGACCACCTTCGGCCTGGAAGACGCGTCGAGATCGTCGGTCTCGGCCTCTCTGCAGCTCACGCAAATTGCCCCATTTCCGGTAGTTGGGCCGGCCTCAAGGACGCATCGGTTGGTCGGTCGGTCGGTCGGTCGCTCCGTCTACCCCACCTCAATACCCCGCCCCCACCCCCGCCCCGTCGTAGGCCAGCCCTGTTGTCACTGCGGCGGCCTCGGCCGTGAGCAACCACCGTTGCGCCCAACTAAACCGGCTCCTGGACCCACGCAAGTTGAAGTTAGGGAGAGGAAGATGAAGAGGAAGAGGAAGATGCGCCCGGACTAATATAAATAAATGCGAGTACTTGCTAAGTTGGCCGGGTAATGGGCTTACGTGAGTTGAGCCTCCAGATGGTTTCTTGCATCTGTCAATAAGGCATGAGCGCGAAGAAAGCCTATATCTACATTCAATCTACAGGTAAAGGGCCCAGGCCCCGATGCACAACACCAACAACAACACCAACACTAAGCCCCAGAGTCAGCTGGGGGGGTGGGGGGGGGAGAGTGCGCACTCGCGTATACACACGACAGTGTGTGGATTTGTGTCCGAGGGT